AGATAAATTAATAATGACCACAGTTTGATATGTATATTTCGTTTGGTCCAGCCATCCTGACGGACACCGCGATTCCTATAAATTTCTATATGCCCAATAGGAAAGGGTTTAAGATGAGACTATTTACTACCACGCCACGAAATATCGTCCGCTACCACGTTATAACTTACAATTTGATGAAAATGAATTAATTATAGTGATATAAAATAAATGTTATGCAATATAGAGCATAACTTTAAAAAATACCAATTAACGTCCATTTATGCTAAAGAGGACGACATTTCGTCCGAAAACGGCCAATAAAATTAGTTACGTAATTTTTTCCATGTGTGCATTACACAATTTAAACTGAAATTTATTCACAGATCAGTGCACTCGGACAAATGCGACTACGCATGCCCCATATGTCCGTACCGAGGCAAGCAGCAGGCATATCTGACGTTGCACATGCGAGTGCATACTGGTGAAAGGCCATACCTTTGTTCCATGTGTCCCGCCAAGTTTGTCAACACGAGTAATTTAAGAAAACACCAACTAATACATTTTAATAAGAAATACCAGGTAAGTAATGTAAATAAATAGTGTTTATTGCAAAGTGCATAAAAATTTATATATTAATGTAAAACAATGATTATAAAAGTAGTAAGACATTGGAAACAAAACTATTTTTAATCGACTTCAAAAAAGGAGGAGGCTCTGATGAATCCAGTTTATTGGATTTTATCCACTTTCCGTTAACAGATTTTAATAAAACTTGGTAAATCGATGAAACAAACTTAGTTGCATTTCCAATGTGTATCAGTCGAAAAAACATATGTACTCGTTAAGTGGAAAGACATTTATAAAGATATTCAAATATAATAATTTTTAGACAAATCCAAAATCTGACCTAATATATGTATATTCAAATATAACAATTTTTAGACAAACTAAAAACCTTAAACGTTATAGAAATTCATGTCAAAGGTTGGATTGTCACAGTAACAGAAAATAATCCGAGAAGTACAAAGGTTAAGGCACTATTGCTTAATTCGCATCTAAATAATCAAATTTAAATCAATTTTGTAAAAGGAGCTGTAAGCTCCCCTAATAAAATTAAATAAACACCTATTCTGGCCATAGAACTAAAAAGACTGAAACAATTTTTTACAGTGTTCAAGATGCAACAAGCAGTTTAGAATGGAGAAGTCTCTAGAGGAACATTACAACGCAGCACATTTACATATGCGATATAGGTGCTCGATATGCGGCAGATATCTATGGACTAGGTAAGATTTTAAAGAGTACTCTATGTAAACTAGTCATAATAATAATTGCAAGTTATTATTAATTCATACCCTGCCCTAAAGAATTGTAGTCGTCCTCATAAGTTGGGCCTGGGTTTTGTTTTCTATAAAGTATCATTTTTTCCTTTGATGTTTAGACATAGCGTTAGCGCTATAGTCTGTGTTTTTTTGAAAACACATATATGAGTAGAACTATCTATGTCTAATAAAAATATAAAGAATAAACATATTTTCATTTTTTCATCTTAATTCATTATAGAATCCGCCTGTTCTTAATATATATGAATAAAAATTGATTTCGATACTAGTAGGCCAAAATGAGAATAATTAAGGTAATAACGCAATTAGTAATCTTTAGAGTAGTGTAACTTTCATAATTCAGACATTTTTCGCAAAGTTTTTAGCATCTTTCACAATCTATCGATAAAACTGTCCACAACAACTACATGACTATCATGACTATTTAAAATTTTACGAAAACTACCTTTAACTATTTTTATAGCAACCTTGCACATGTCATTTTACTCCGTCTCCAAAAAAGACAGACTTTAGTTTCAGCGATTCTCAAGTCTTCCAATTTAGAGATCATTGTTCTACCATAGAGACCATAAATGTATTATTAGAGTTCACTAGGCTGAAATTACGCCATATATTATAATCTCGTATTACCTTATTATACTACGCCAATACATATAATTTATGTAATCCGGAATCGACGGTGCCGATTTCATATTAATTGTATGAAAATGGAATATTCGGCGCGGCGCCTTAGACTAGTATGGTAACTCCATACAAACGTAGCAGCATTGCTTGTATGTGTGTAAGCTCGCCGCGCGCCGTGTACGGACGCACACATAACATTGAAAGGCGGTTGGGGCGGCCAGCGCTATGTAACGTGCATTTGTGTGCGTCCGTACAAGATACGCGGCGCGGGCGGGCGCGCACACATACAAGTCACGTTGCAACGCAGCGTTTGTATGGAGTTGCATTCTTGTCCTTGTTATTATTATTATACTATGGTAATGGTATACTCTTATATGTATATGAGGTACGGAAGTAAACAATGAATTGCAAGCACAAGAATTTATACAAAAATTTAAAAAAGCAATAAAATTATTGTAACAATGTGCTTATTTTGCAGGAGAAAACTGTTAAGCCACGAGCTAAGAGTACACAATAGGGAGAAGGGAAAATTGTTCTCTGAAGCATATAAAGTTATTGTGAATGAAGAAAATGAATGACACATTAAGCTAAATGATCATAAAGGTGAATACACACTCGTCCGCGCCGGAAGAATAGAATTTTAGAATTCGTTATATGTACGAAACATCCAACACTTATCCGCGGCGAATCAGACGAATCGCCGGAACAATGGGGAAGATACCTTCATTCCAGACGAATTCGGCCACGTGAAAAAATTCGGCGTGGACAATGCCCACATTCTCTACCTTTTTTTTTTAAATTATTGCTGGCCTTGGAAACAAAGTCCTTCAGCCGAAAACATAAACGTTTAATTATATTTCTGTAAATATGGCCACCACAAAGAGGATAGGCAATTTGAGGCGGCGTGCTTGGATTGACTCGCGATTCCTTAGAACGGGCCGATACGGGTATTTTAGTTCGAGATTCGTATAATTTCGCGTTTTAATCTTCGATTAAGGCACAATAGCACTATCCTATTCCACTTTAAACTAGATTTCACAAAATAATTGAAAGTCAAAATAAAAACGACACTTTTCCCTCCAAAAGGCTCAGAGCGAATCACATTCACTGTGTTACCGCCTTAGGGAAAATTCTCTTAAATTCAGAGGATTTTTGCACGTTTTAAATATTTATAAATGAACATAATTATTTATAATACTAAATTTTGTTAATTTTTTTCCCATTAACCTTAACGTATTTCATTTATTTTTTACTTCATTATTAACGAAATGCAGGTAAATCTTTCAGCGCGAATATGAGTGCGATTACCATAAGAGTTGAAATTCAATAAAAACTTAAAATTTTATTGCGTGCAATTTTTACACGCAGTTTGGATGATTGAATCCTCATTATAATCATGAATGCAAAACATTGGCTACAAATTGCACAAAAACAGGTACATACTCCAATTGTTAATCAGCGATTTAAACAGCTTTAAGAGAAATAGGATGAAGAAACTTTATTTACAATATGTCACAAAGTACCAACTAATAATTTGTTTAAATAATCATAAAGATGTGTGTAATACATATAAACTGATACAATTTGATATAAGCCTGTTGATTTTTGTAGCTATATCCTAAAATAAAATATTATACAAATAAATAATTTTTTTCATGACCTCTATAATGTTTGCCAGCGGTTAGTTTTGTCACACTGGCGACTGCGAGCGATGCAAGAACTGCGTGCCGTACGCGCCGCGCTGTCGCACCGCTCGCAAATCGCCAGTATAATAAGCTCTTGGTAGGAGACAAATTGACTTTTCTACATTAGTTTTGGTCGGGAGTAACTTCCCTAGTTAATTTCGTTACTCTGATATTGAAAGAGTAGCTCCTAGTTTATGAACGCTTTTTTTAGAACTAAAAATTAGACGCTTGTAGAAGTACGGCAGCCGCGTTGCTGAAGTTTATCAGTAATTTTTAGTTGACTCATTATTGTTACTGCAAGAAAACTGTCTATTTATCAATAAAACAAATAGGAAGAAAAGTGCCAGTAGAACTAGTGGAAGAGAAACTTCTTAGTAGTTCTGTGAAAAAAACTGTAATTTTTAGTTCACTCAGTATTGTTATTGCAAGAAAACTGGCTATTTATTAACAGAACAAATGGAAAAAAAGTACCAGTAGTTCTGTTATCAGAACTGTACAACAGAACTAGTGGGAAGAAACGGCAAAACTGGCGCGCGTGTTACAACAATGACGCAGCAACTGCGCTTCTAAATATTGCATGAAGATTAGTAGTGACGCGGCTGCAAGGCTGCTATAAGCGTCTATTTTAAAGGTACCTTAAAACTCGATTTTTTATCTCTAGTAAATTCTAATACAATTTAAAACACTCGAAAGGGAGTCTGGAATCTATTGGAATTATTTAAAAAAAACAACAACACAACGTGGCTGCTTTTTCCGTTGCTACAATGTTGTCTTTTAAAAAAAAAATTTAACTTCTGACAGTCAATTTTACAGTCAAGCAGTATGGGTGGATATATGAGAAATATGAAGGGCAGTTAATACTTTATTATAATTTTTAGATAAAACACAGTGAAAACTTACACTTTATTAAATCATACATTGTGTTATAATTGTTATCATAGCTTATCATTAAAATATACAATTTCTTGGTTTATACAAAATAAATGAATACATATTGTTATGAATTAGCAACTTGTTTCAAAGGTCCTTCTAAATACTGAGCTATTGCATGAACTTTCTCCTTCAATATTCCAAAACCTACAGTTTCTTTTGCATATAAACAAAGTAGCAAGTTAGCAACTTGTGCAATGGCTATCTTGCCATTCATACAGTCTACGAGTATAAGATGAAGCTTGTCTTCTTTGAATACGTTCCTTCCTTGTTTTTCATAGGCTGACCATACGTTACTCGCGATAGCCGCAGTGACCCTTGCATCTTTATCATTATAACCAGAATACGCTAATAATGCCCCTTGATGATTCAACAACCTAGAAAAGTTATTCAATTATCAGCGACGAATACAGAAGGTGTATTATCAATCAATTTTAGGAATTTCATATAATTACAATGTATTTTCTACACCTCCAGTGTTCGCTTGACTTAGCACTTGCGTTAACGCTTTCGGTTTCAACATTTTGACAATTAGTAAAAAAATATTGAGGTAACTTCTTGCGAGTGCAACAATAGCTAATTCGTATAACTGTAGATTATTATAAAGTCGGAAAAAAATCGTCTTGTTGTGATATTTATACTTGTCAATGTCAATATTGTAAATTCCGCAATTTGCAATGACGTTTCGTTTTTTTGACAGTTTATGACAGGTGTATATAAAAAAAAAGGATAGAATTATTCTGCCCAATAGATTTAGTATATCTGCCCTTGGAACGTAAAAAGGCACAACTGCTGTAAAAAGTATGCAAAGTTGTGCGTTTTTTTCGCTACGAGGGCAGTAATGTGTAGACCTATCCACAGAGGACTATCGTCATATTATCTTTGATTTAACTCTTACAAGAAAGAAAAATGTTTTCACCTCAATAGCTCGCAAAGGCGTGTTTCAAAAACCTATTCCACTAGTGTGGAAAAGGTTTTTGAAATTTGAACTTGACGATGTTGACGATGGACAATGAATGTTGAACCAACGTAGTTCACTGCGTAGTCTGTGGGTGCACCTAACTTTTTTTTTCGATGAAAAAAACTATAATGACACTAGAGTTTAAACGAAAAGCACTTAAAAATTCAGTCTTTTCATATTAAGCGTAAGCGTTATCACTGGTCAGTTCTCTAGATACTCAACAATTTCATTTATTTACAATAAGATTTACAACGTGCCTAAGTTTCAAATAGCGCCATCTATGTTTCCTAAACAAATTAATTTAACATAACGTTGCAAGCTTGTTTAAACAAAGTCTATGAGCTTAAACTTTTTTGTAAGCGTCAAACTAAAAAGCGTATAAGTGAAAAACGCTTTTACAAGCACGCTTTTTAAACGTACTTTTTAACGTTAAGTCAAATTTTTCCATTTCAACCTTAGACTATGGAAACTAACTTTAACTTTAACTTCTTTTATTTTTTTCCATCCTCTAAGATTTCAACGGCTAACAACTACAAAAGTTAAACAACTTATGTTTTTGAACGTTTTTAAACGCCAATAAACAAAATGTTAATACAATATTGTTATGTCATAAATAAAAATAAAACTCGTTTTTTACAAAAAAAAACTTACTTATCTTAAAACCTTTAGACTAAGAACTCATGGAGCGGTTTTTACCCGCGGCCTCCGAAGAATTTAGAAATGTATGAAAAATTTAGTAGCACATTTCACGACGTGTTTTACGCTCGCAGTGGAGACGGTTGCTCACGGCGGCCCTGCACCCTGAATACTTTACGCCTTCTTCTTTTAATTCTCCGATGAAGTAAGTATAACACGATAGCTCGTTTTTGCTGTGAGTCCATGGCGACGTCTGAGACTTAACTGGCGATCTCAATCGATCGTAAATAGAGGTGCGTGATAAATAACGTCACGATGATCCGCTGTCAAACAGTATCACCGTGACTCGTTCCGAAGGAACGACGTTCCAAAGTCACATAGGTGTTCCTCAGTTCCAATAGCTATCCCCGTTACTCACATCACGACATACGTATTTGATATGATGCGCGATGTCCGTTCCGTGGTGACTGAGCGCGCCACTCGTTGTAGTTCTCTTCAAATCGGGCTATTTCGGCGATGGGAGTGAATGAAATAGGATGACTTTCTTTGCTCACTCAGAAGGGTCGTAGATGCTTATTACTACTAGAAAAGGCGGATGAAAAAAATCTGCAGCAGTTATTATAAACCTATTTATGAACAAAGTAAAATATTTTTGTATATTTGTTTTATTATAGGAAGAGTTGGTATTTTATATTTATGTATAATCTACTTTGTGTATTCTACTAGAAATATAATTGCATTACACTTTATTGCTATTTTTAACAATCCAAAGATTCGCATTAAATAAGTAACAAACAAAATTACATTAAATACAAAATCAACTTTTTGAATGGAATTGAAACTTATTACAAAGGGAGCAAAAACTTAAACAAATCATTTTATAAAAAACGAAAAACTGTTATATCTACAAACAGTCTTAATATGGTATAGATTTAGATAATAGTTCTCTATAAATGGTTTTAGAAAAAAGAAGTTGTTCTTATAGACTTATTTCACTCAAGTCCAACTTTTAAAACCTTCTCAATACCAAACAACTTAATTAAGTGTAATCTCTCTTAAGATTTACTCTTATAGTCCTTATTTTAAGTTCATCTGTAGAACAACTGATTATTTTTAGTAAAATTGTTCTATACACATCCAGTAAAGCCTATTGATACTCTAAAAACTAGTGTTCTTAAGTTTATTCTAGATATATTTAATTTATAGACATTCTGTAGTGTTTGTACTTATTGACAAACACGTTATAGCGCGTCTTCAGTAGATTTTATTTAAAAACATACTACAATTCGGGTTTTTACTCTATTGGTAAGAGTTTATGCAAAATGGATGAAGTAAAGAATACTAAAAGATCTGGTGGAGGTGGTAAACCTTGGATATTAAGTCACATCATTCGATACAATCAGCGTTGCCAATGCCAATTGTTCAAAATCCCCAAAAATCACTATAATAATAATAACGTCCACAAACAACATAGCCCCGCACTAGGGAAACCTTGTGTCGCGGGCAGTGTTGGGCAAAATTTAATTGTTCTGGTAATTAAAGATTGACAATTGATTAATTGTCAATTGCGAAACAGCAATTAACGATTGATCAATTGTTAGTTGCGAGAACCGCAATTAACAATTAATTAATTTTCAATCTTTTCAATGTTTTTGATTAACAATTAAAACTGACAATTATGATAAATTTATAGGGCATATGGGGGTGAGTTAGGGCGTTGGTTGTGGGGGCCTGTTGGGGGCCTGCTGGGGGCAGGGTTGGGGGGCCCGCTTGGGGGTCCGGATGGGGGCCCGGTTGGGGGGCCCGGTGGGGGCCCCGGTTGGGGCCCCGGTTGGGGACCCGCTTGGGGGCCCCGGTTGGGGACGCCGGTTGGGTGGCCCGGTTGAGGGGTCCGGTTAGGGGCCAGTTAAGGGGCCTGATGGATCCGAACCGGGCCCCCCATCCGGGGCCCCCAACCGGGCCCCCAACCGGGGCCCCCAAACTGTGGCCCCCACCAACCGGGCCGCCAACCGGGCCCCCAAACGGGGGCCCCAACCGGGTCCCTAACCGGAGCCCCAACCGGGGCCCTAACCGGGGGCCCCAACAAGGCCCCCAACAGGGCCTCCAACCGGAGCCCCCAACCGGGCCCCCCAACCGGGCCCCCAACTGGGGCCCCCAACCGGGCCCCTAACTGGGGCCCCCAATCGGGCCCCACAACCGGCCCCCCAACCGGGCCCCCAACCGGGGACCCCAACCGGGGTTCCCAACCGGGGCCCCCAACCGGGGCCCCCAACCGGCCGGAATTTATTTTAATTGCAATTAAAATCAATTCAATTGAAATCAATTGCAATTGATTTCAATTGAATTGATTTTTTAATCTGATTGAATTATTGATTGAAATTTAATTGATTAACGCCTAACACTGGTCGCGGGTGCCATGGACACACACGTAGACAACCACAAATTACATCCAAACTCACGAGAGAAATAAATGTAGGCCATACAAATATTTCTCTCGACCCGGGAATTGAACTTGGGACCTCTGCATGGCATGGTAACCGTTCGGCCACGGAGGCAGTAAAAATATTTTCAGTAAGTACTACATTGTGTTATCATAGTTATCATTTAAAAGTGTTATTTTATGCACTAGTATATTATATAGTATTTAATTTATATTTAAATTAATCGTAAATATAAATTACAAAAGCAATCAAAATAATCAAATAACTAACTGTCTCTTTCCGACTCATAGCTTGCGTAAAAGACTGAACGAGACCCAACACGTCAATTTCAATTGTTTCAAACACAAGCGTTTGAAATATTTAGAACAAAAATTTCATAGAGTCGCTTTGATGCTAATGTTATTATTAAAATATTTTTAATACATGTTAGTAATACTTTCAAATATTGTTGTACTCTTTCTACGGCTTGGGGTTACGAATCAGAAGGCCGAAAACACATTTGCCCGAAATAACGTTTGCATGAATTTCCATAATCCCGAAACTATTTTTTTAGGTTTTTTTTTAGAATATTACAAAACAAACCTAAGCTAACTTAGTCTTTTCTTTGTAATAAGCATCCAAAACTCCCTAAAGCATAACGGTTTTATTATGAATCGGTTTTCAGGATTATGAAAGTTTGGCTTTACGTTAAATTTGAATTAAAAAAAATCTAAACATCGGTACATTGAATACAGGAATTTATCCAGTAAACATAGCTTGAACTTAAGGAGAAAGTGACAAGTATTAACAGAGAACATCTTACACCGACAAAATGCATTAAAAATCAAAAGTTGGATGAATGACAAAATATACCAACTTAAGAAACAAAGAAGGTAATTGAAGCAGACTGACACTGCAAATTAAATAGGATATTTTTATAAAAGTTTAAGCAATTTGTAGCCTTCACATGCAAACAATGCATAATAATCCAAATAGTACAACCTTGATAGCCTAACGGTTTGCACTGTCGGCACTGGATGAGAAGTTCCCGAGTTCTATACCGGTAGGATCAATTTAACAAATTAACTTTTCTAAATGGTTCTGGTGTTGGTATTCTATTGTAAGACAATCACCTGGTCTGAAACTAGGGAACTCTCTGTACATACTCCCCATGAGTATCAGAACAACAGAATCCCAGAGCAGAACCAATTTACAAAAGTTCATTTCCCAAATTGGTTCTACCGGGAATCGAACCTGGGACCAAGAACGATGGAATTTATTTCGGGGCACAACTCAGAACACCCAGGCCAAAACAACTTTCGAAAAGTTCACATTTAGTTTTATAGTCGATTGAGCTGATTTTTTACGGTTTTTAAAAAAATTCTCGAATAACTCGAGAAATCGGGTACGAGAATTCTCGAAACTCAAGAAAAAAAACATCAGACACCCTAACTCGTAAATAATGGCATTGTATAAAATTCAACATTTACATATAAAATTTATTTATAAATAATAAAGGCTACTCCATTATACCTGTGTTCAAATACTTTTCATTAGAAGGGGAATTCCCTACAAATTGGCTACGCTGGATACAAGTCGTAATTCGCGCTCGGGCTGGTCATGGCCGGCATTTGTTTGTTGACAAATAAATAAACATTGTGAAGTAATTCCGTGTTGTGAAATGATAAAAACAATTGAAATGAGCGCGTAAACTACTGTACTTCAATGTAGTGTATGTGTATTGTGCCGTTTATCAATGGAATACAGTAAAATCATTGTGTGAAATGTGGTTGGCGTGAAAAAATAACCTCAATGTTGTAATGAAAATTTTATTTCTACCATCATAAGTTAGGTATGTCATTAAAATATTCCTTATATTTAAATGATAGTAAATGTATCCACCTTTCTAGTCATATTATAACACATTCTATACAATTATGCAGAATAATGTTTTTTTTTGCGACAAATTGGATTTTTTTCAATTGTTTTTTTGACCAAGTGTTTTGAAAAGTGTTTTAATGCATAAAGCGCTCATTATTTGGTAACAGCTTATAAGGGTTTTGTAATACTGTCAAAAGAAACAATCGCTTAGAAACATCGCGTTTTGTAGACAATCATAAAAATCTCATAGGAGGAATATTCTTCGACAAGTTCAACTACACTAAAGCAAGTAAAAATAATCTTTTCGTATTCTAAAGTTTTTCTATAGATCAAGCTATAGACAAAATGTTCCCAACTGTGTTTTGAAAAAAGCTTTAAATTCTTATCGCCATTTTTATTTTCAAAGAATGACTATGAAGTAGCCGAGAAAAATTTCTTTTCTTTTTAAAAAGTAAATCTAAGTTGAAAAAGCCTAGAACTTCTTGGAAATGGTTTGTTTTGTGAGTTATTTTGTATATTTAAGCTTTCTATAAATATTTAAAACCGAAAATCGATAACTGTATTTTTATTAAGTTTATATTTTATACTTAAATATTTAAAATTTAGCGAGCGCATTACTTTTATGACAGGTTTTACATCACTTTTCACAATGTATTTAAAGTCGCACGTTAATTTGCGCTTTCCAACCGATTAAACATTGCGCGAAAAAGTCAGAAATATTATATCTAATTTCGCCATGTTGCAATTTATATAGTTTATATTTTGTAAGCCATTAAACATGAAGTCTATTAGTATTAAGAGAATTGCGTCCTATGTTTGTAACGCTTTAGTATTTTGGTTTTAAAATAGCATTACTAAGAAAACTATCATAGACTATAAATTATCTAAAAACTATCTACAAGACTAAATAAAAACTTTCTACATTCTACAAATGGTCTTGTAGTATTCTAGAAGGGTTACTTCAGAAAAAAGATAAGAATGACTCTTAACACTACCTACAGATAGTTTCTCAAAGCACTCTTGTGATCTAGGTACTAATAAAGTTGTGCCCACTTTTACTTTAAATTATCTAGAAACCTTCTTTGAGATATCTTGAGGGAATTTGAACTCTTAAAATATTCAATCGAATTAAATTCTATTAGATGTCTTATAGTATATATTTAGATATGGGTGTGCTGGTATTAGAAAGAAAAGAAGCCACTGGCTAAAACCGTATATCGTGATGTAAGTTATAGGCGTGACAAGGTCACGGAAGTAACAATCGTGACAAAATCACGATGATTTTTCACTGTGATTTTTTTGGAACCGGAACGACAGTCACGGCGATAGAAATGTAACGCTATTTCCCATATCTAATCGTATATAACCGCGCGTAAATAAACGTTTTCATAAACAACTTTTTAAGCAGACGTCAAACTAAAAAGCGTTTAAGTGAAAGGCGCTTTTACAAGCACGCTTTTTAAACGTACGTTTTATTGTAAAAAAAATAAGCAGCTCTTTCCATTTCAACGGTTAAACAAGTATAAAAGTTAAACAATTTATGTTTTTGAACGCTTTTAAACGCCAATGAACAAAATGTTGATAATATAATAATATTATGTCATAAATAAAAATATAACTCGTTTCTTTTCAAAAAACTTATCTTAAAACCGTTAGTGGTATACTCTTGCGTTTCGCTATCAACACAAATGTTGCAAACTTTTTTTAACATAAAAGTCTATGCGCTTAAACGTTTTCTAAATGGTTTTGTTAGCTTCAAACATTAAGTCAATGGCTTCAAACTAAAAAGCGTTTAAGTGAAAAAGCGTCTAAAAAATCACGCTTTTTTGAAAAAAGCATAAAGCTTAAACGTTTAAAAAAATAAGCAGTTTTTCCCATCTATAAATGACACGTACAACTACGCTATTTCTTACACTACACAGGATGGAAAAATAGTCTAAGCATTTTTATATAATATAAATCTGTTGGTATATTTTATTCTAATTATTGTTGACATTAAATTGACAACGATAAATAATTTTGTTTATTAATTATTTTGATTAGTTCAACCTTAGAGCATAATCTAAGAGTTCAACTTTTTTCTAAGTGTTTAATTAAGATAATATACAGGTAAGGTAAAAAAAACAATAAAAGCTTAACTACTAGAAAGTAAAACTAGGATTTTTAAATTATATGAATAAAATTGGGTCCCCGCGGCAAGGTGCCCAAGATGCTGGCAGCGTTCCCCTTTGTATTGCTATGCTAATGCGTTGGGCAAGGTAGCTGCCCTTGGGTTTCCCAGACAGTCTATTATTTTTTCGATAGTCTATTATTATTTATTTATTTTTATTTTACCGTTTTCTTTCATCTACCATTTTCCTCGCTATAGTAAGGTGAAAAGTTGTGTGTTTCGCTCGGCAGCAAAGTTGTTTTGCGTCTCGTGTCTTGAAAACGTCGCTACGCTCAGGAATCTATTTTCGAACCACGAGGGAAGCGATCTTAGGTGTCTTCGCTTGCTCCGGTTTCAATACAAGCACTCGCGTCAAACTACAACTTTGCAGCCTTGCATAACAAATAACTATTATTACAAAAAGTTGATAATAAACGAAACAGTGTCAAGGGTGCTGGTGAAATTACAGGCACATGGGACTTGTCAACATGTCTCAGGGTAACGGGCGCAGTGGCCAGATCTTTGCGATTTAAAGCTTTAAGTGGCACTGCATCACTGCTACTGTTATGGACAAGCGTAGCTTAGGTACCATCAGGCGCACGACATGTTCGTCCCATTACTTGATATTATAAAAAATCTATAATTTTTGGTTTTACACTGTTTTCGATTACGATATATAAGGTAAACTTTCTTAAACGAAGTATTTCTCTGGCGATGATGGTTTATAAGTAGTAGTAGTGAGGAGATTATTATTAACATAAAGGTCGAGTACAAAAAAATCATTCGACCTGATCGAAAATTGTCTATTTTGAAGAATTTACATTTTTCAGAAAAATAAATATTTTTCCCGAAGCTTTTTCCACATTTGACACCGTCAAAAGTGGACGATACTGAACGAAACAAAGGAGCTACTAAATGATTTTTTTAAATTATTATGATTATTTTTTTTCGATTTTGTCGAATAATTTTTTTACTCTATTTAAGTTGCTTTTAGATATACAATTTTATTTCACAATTCATACTAAATAAAACTTCAAAAGATATACATCTAAACATAGAACATAATATGAGCGTTTGAATAATATTTTTCGTTTATCAGAATTTTTTCCTGAAAAACTTAAACTATTTGAAATTTTTCTGAAAATTACCCAACAACAACAAGTAATCATGAAGAGCTCCCAAAAAACAAAGGATCTAACCAAGCAGCTAGTGCATAAATAAAGTTTTATTGGAAATATTACACTATTGAAAAAAACCAGGAGCACTTAAAAAAAAAATATTGTAACAACACTCTAATAGTTTTATTTATTTATTCTAAGATCTCGTACATGTCTCCTACACTTTATTTACTCAGCTTATTGTAAACTGTACTATTACTGTAATGTATTAAAATTACCGCATTTTCTTTTGCTTTATTAAATAATTTCGAAAAGCAATCTGCTTATCTTTGAAGGACCTTTTTATTTTACCTTTAGCTTTTTGTTTAACCATCTGAAAGTTCTTAGTTTTTCTTTTTTCTCTGTTTGTTTTTGAGCAATGAATGTTCTTTCTTCTGTCTTTGTATCCAAATTTATCTCGTTCTTGTCTGCCTTTGAGAACTGATTCTAGTCTTGCACTTTTATCATGCTTCCTCTTTTTATGAATATTTTCAATAGCAGAAAGTTGTACAAGTTCTCCTGACTCTTCATCTTCATCATCAGCCAGTTTCTTTCTTTTAATTCCACTAATATGTTTTTTCACTTGAGCTGCTTCAATTCTTTTAAAGTCTTCGTCAGTAAAAATGGTTTCCATGGCGATCTTTCGAGCTGTTTCGATTTTCTCTTCTTTATCCATTTTATTGTTCCGTTTTGCTTTCAAAACCTTTCTGGCTATTGGTTCTGAATTTGAGTTTGCTTCTTCAATTTCTGAACAAGAATCCTCAGTTGTTTCATCACAATTTTCTTCACTTTTCTCTTCTACACAGTGATCATCATCAGCTTCACTATCTGATATATTAATTTCGGAATCTGATGATCCAACATCAATCCATTCATCACTGTCTGAACCATCGTAAGTTTTCTTTTTTCCCTTTGTGACTTTCCATTTCCTTTCAGTTTCCTTTATTTCTTCTTTTTCCAATAAAACCTCTGAACCAGGAATATAGTCTCTGATTCTGATTTCACCATATTTCTTTGTTTCTAACTCTGTTGAAGCTTCTGTAGGCCTTCCCCTATCTTTTTTGTGCAATAAGTGTGGCATAGATAGCCTGTAAAGTTGGATTAGAGATCTTGCTGCCATCATAACTGACTTTTCTTTGTAACTCTTGTATTGAACAAGATCTCTGAGCAAATCTTCACCTATAGCCAAGGGACAACGCGCACAGATTTCTCTCACAGCATTTAGACCAACAGCCATGACATCTGTAGAATTCCGTTCGGTAATGAAGTTATTTGCAATTGCTTTCATAACAGGCTCTATGACTTCCGGTGGTACAAGTTCATGTGAAGCTTGTGCTGCAAATTGTAGGATCCTGGTTACTTCTCTCTGGTGAGGCATGAGCAACCTTGCTATGAAGGGATAATAGTTGAAGAGGAATAAATTATGAAGTCCTATCAGCCTCGATATGACATCTAAAGACATCAATTTGACTTCAAAGCGTTCATTTGACAATTCCATTTGTTTGAAGAGTTTTTCAGCAAATCCTTGAGGATTGTTGATCAGATGTAGAGCAGAGAAATTGAAGGATGGTGCTTGTTGTTTCTTCTTCTTCATTTTCTTGGCTACCTTCTTCACTTTGTCTACCATCTTATCTCTCTTCCTAGTTTTCTTGTTGAACTTGTTTGCAATCATTGTGTCTCTGGGATCAATTTCTTCATCACTATCGGAATTATCTTCTTTTTCTTCATCTTTCCCAAGAAAGAACTTCAGTGATGCAACCATTACTTTAGTGATTTTCGAAAAGCATCCTATGTCAGCTATTATATTCACAGTCTTATGATCATTCCAAATGTTTTTGTGATATAGTTCAATTAAAATATCAAGTGACAGCTTTGCTGCTTTTGCATTTGTATCACGCAACATAGAGAACATAAAATTCTGTAATGTTGAATTTAATTTCATATCCTTATGCTTCATATTCATGTTTTTTATGTCTGTTATAATGTGAATCTTCAAGAATTCACGTAAATTTTTGTCTTGGCATTTTAGTAGGTGGAAGAAAAGTTCTAGTAAGTCAAATGGTGTGATAAAGTTTTTGTTTCTCAATAGTATTAAGCATTTACAGAGAGCGAGCCTCATGTCATTGTGGAGAACAGTATTATGCGTTTTTAGAATATCGACGATTTTTTGGGGAAATGTCTTCATCACATTTAAATAACATTGTGCTACCTGTGCTAGAAACATAGCCTGTTCATCGAGTTTCTTGTTGTATTGCGATGGGTTTAGGTTAAAAATTTCCAGAGTAGTTTCAAAATGTGCCAACTGCTGATGGAACTCTTCTTTATAAGAATCTGGATCTCTTTTAATCAGGTTTTGCAGCTGCGTTAAATTATTAGGCAGCTGATTGTTATGCCGCACCATTTTGAAACTTTAACAAAGCAAACTTCACAAATTGAAAATATTTTATCAGAAACGACAACCACAGGACCCACAGAACACTATACTCACAAGACGAGAGCACACTAAATTTAACCTCAAACTAAAATTGTCAAAAGCGCGATGATGTCACAGTTTCGCTTTGTTGTACCCAGTAGCGACACGTAAAGAGTGCAAAATGGTATAGCGCTATCTTGTTCGTACAAATGATATCTATAGCGTAAAGTCTTACAAATTCGTGATGATCATGAGTCAATTTACAGTTCAATGCCATCGTTATAGTTTATATTTATTCGTTGATACAAATGGCAACACCGAACAATTGTGTCAGTCAGCCACGTCATTTTTGCTTGAATGAGAAGTATACGCGGCGTATCTTCCATAAATAATTGTCTTGTAAAATAGTAAAACATGAATATATTCCGTTTACTCGGTGATTTAGCCCATCTCCTAGCTATTATAATATTATTGCTCAAAATCTGGAAAACGAGATCATGTGCAGGTAAAGAAATGTTGTGTGATAAATTGGTTTTGCGGCCGGCATGTTCTCGAGTTGCTTAATATTAAAACAGGTATTCTGTGTCTGGCTAATTGTGATTGTGTATGATTGATTTTCAGGCATATCGGGAAAGTCGCAGATTCTGTTCTCTGTTGTGTACACGGCGCGCTATTTGGACTTATTGACGACGTACATTTCGACGTATAACACTGTTATGAAGTTGGTGTTCATCGCTGCTTCCTACGCGACGGTGTACCTGATGTACGTGAAGTTCAAGGCGACCTATGATCACAACCACGACACCTTCCGGATCGAGTTCCTGTTGATTCCCACATTTGTGCTGGCACTACTTTTAAATCATGAGTTCACAGTCATGGAGGTTAGTGAACTGTTACTAAATGATTCGTAAAGCGGTCGCTATGCCGCGCTTATTTTCGGCATTTTAAAGTTAATTGAATACCAACATATCATCTGGCTAAAATCATGTACTGTAAGAACTACAGTACAAACACCTCCCTGCTAACACCAAATCCATTTAGGGGTAAGAGTAAATAAATAAAAACCGATTCTTTTTTGTGTGCTCTTTGATTAATTGTGCCCTAAGAGATAAGTATTTAAAATTGTTGTTTCACATATTCTAACAAATTTTAATATCCTTAATCAAAACTTAAATGTTACATTGTTATGATTTAATCTCTACTGCCATAAAACTGGACATTGGTGATAAAATCTGTGTACAGTATCAATATCAAGTTATGGCTTGATTACACACCTCAACTATAAAAGCGAGTGAGATGTTTACTGATATTAAGCCTAAGACAATAAGGTGCACAGAATAGGGTTTTACACATATTTTTATTATGAGGCAAGCAAGTTCAGTTTATATAATTAATTGCCTTAATTTATAACGATCACTGGCAAATGAGTGGTGAATATGCCAAGTGGAATAGCAATTGCAGGGGTTTGAGCAACTTGCTCGACCATGGCATGTTGGTACTGAGCACTTGGACCTGTCTTGATTTGTCACCAAGTTTCATGCAATTTAACAAATTTACCTGTTTAGTAGCCAGTAATAGTAGTATATTATATTACGCATACATATATTATGTATTTGTAGAGGTATTTAAAAAAGACATATCTTGTAAAGAAAAGATTTGATTATAAGATAATGATATTATGGATTACGCACTTATAATGTAATAATTAATAATGGTGTATTTTTTTAAGTGGATGATAAGTGCTGCAGGTTGGTTGGTATTTAATGCAGTCTGCTTAGAAATTATATCATCCTGCTGTTAAATAAATAAACAAAATTAAAGTCATATAACAATTCCAGGTTTTATGGACATTCTCAATCTATTTGGAATCAGTGGCTATCCTGCCACAGCTTTTCCTGGTGTCCAAGACGGGTGAGGCAGAGAGCATCACTTCCCATTATCTGTTTGCCCTTGGTTCATATAGAGCTCTCTATCTCCTGAATTGGGTTTGTATTAATTTTTTTACATTTAATTAAGGAATTCGTTACACATAGGGCCTTACAACTTGTCAATATATTCGCATGCGTGAATGCTTGCACAAAGTCAATTTAAATTACTGTCATGTATTTGGATTCCCTTTAAGTTCTAATCTGTTGGCAACAGTGGGTTAGATGTATGGTATATGACGATTTCAGTACACGTACAGTAAAATCCACAAAGTCATACTATGTGATAAAATTAAAATGCTTTATAAAATTATTTATCTAAATAAATCAATATTTGGTACTAAAGACTTCAATCTACTAATAGGTATTGTTGGTACCATACTAATTAATCAAAAGCTTTGTTTGTTAAAGAAAATATTTTTACAAACACAAGCAATATTTTTAATCAGTAAAAAGGCTAGTTCCATTAAAATGGAGCTATAAAGTGGTTCAGAATGTTTACTCAGAGGTCATTGTGCTTTAATAGCTGGTGCAATATGGCTCCACTTTATGTATGGGTTTGTTAACAGAAGATCTCTTCACTTTCAATTGAACTTGCTTTCTTGGCTCTTAATAGAAAAGGCATTACACTATTTAGGTACAGTTAGCATCAAAATGCCCAAAACTATATCATGAATAGTGCAAATCCGCGTCGTATTGGTAAAAGGCGCGTATCTGCATTAAACCAAATTTCACAGGAGAGGGATTTAACGTTATTATTTTGTTATTTCAATGGCTACGACTTTCATTTTTGCACAGTAAGCATTGTTGTCTACAGACTGCTAACAATAGATTCCCGTAAATCACACTACTTTGGTTGCCGCGATATTTACGCGGAATTGATTTGTCCACAAAATTACCGAAATGGAAACTCATAATCAAATGCTAGTTACGCGTAATTGCACTATCCTCGACGATATAACATCTAAATGTGACAAAATGCATACAAATGTCATCAGTAGAGTAGTAGTAGTCAGATAGAGTAGATAGTTTTTTAACCGTTTCGAGCAGTTCGATGCCGATTGTACAAGCGTATATATATAGTAAGTCAATAATCAAAATCGAAATTACTGTATTTTAATGCATTTTATGAAAAAGAATGAAATGCAAATTATTAATAAAACAAGCATGACTAATAGGTCTGTAGGTGAGTAGTAGTAGGTTTGAAGTAAAAAGTTGACTATTTATAGGTAGATGGTTTAGATCATAGATTCTCAAACTTTTTGACTTACCACCTACTTAGGCAAGATAAAAAACCCCTAAAAAAAAGAAATCCCATGGGAAAGAAATATAGTGTAGTTTATATAGATAATTCTTTTTTTCAAATGCGGTAGCATCTCCTGGACAGCCCTCCAATTGCTTCCGAGACCCCTACCTCCCCCCAGGACTCTTTGTCGTCCACTGGGTTAGGGACCACTTTGGGAAACTGGCTTAGATAAATTGTCAACCTTCTAAAATTGTGTTAAGTGGTACAACTTGAAAGTTTCTGATATTACATTTTTAATTTTTAAAAATTTAGTTTTGCCTATTTTTTAATATAATTTTCATGACGCAACTGTTGTCCTCAGGTATATCGCTACGTGGTTGAAGATCATTATGAGCTCATTGCTATCATTGCTGGAGTCGTACAGACGGTACTCTACTGTGATTTCTTCTATCTCTACATTACTAAAGGTAACTTTACCATTAATAACATTTAGCAGTTTAGAAAATGTACACCATAAGGACCGCGATTTTTTTGGTCGTGCCATTTTGAAAATGATGCAATGATTATATCGAAATTTTCGGCTAACACATAGGGTGCTAAAGCTGAATAAATCCAAGGAGATTGTAAACCCTTTGAGAGGATAATACGAACCTTTCGTAACACAAATCCACATCACATAATTAAACTTGACTAAAAATATAGTCATTTCGAGGGTGTTCTGAGATTTCAAATAAAACGCTCAACTTACAATACACTACGCCTACTACAGTGCGTGATAACAATATAACAATGCATTGAATATTGTTGCAAGTCATACTAACCTTGCAGTGTCCATTATATCACTTAATATAATAGCAACAAAACAAAGACAGGAGTGATCGGAGGGACCCATTCAAATCTTAAGATCGCTGTTGGTGTAACTCTCACTCTTGGCTCCATATCCCCAATTTTGTTTTTCCTTATACTCGGTCCACATAGCAACTCACTTTTTGTATATCACATTTTGCATAAATTATGCATTGACTCGACTGGTGTACGTTTGTTTCAGTATTGAAAGGGAAGAAACTGCAGCTACCAGCCTAAAATAAATTAACTAAAATATCTCTAAAGATGTTTTATGTAAGCCAATAATATTACCTAAGATCTAGTTGTACAACTATTGTGTGTACAGTGTGAAAATGTGAATTACTAAACAGCAGTCTGGTGTGATGAACTTAATTATGTACTATATTTTAATTAAACCTTAAAGTTATTGACCATTATTTCTGTGCAATTTAATTTTAATCGCCAATAGCGTAATCCCCACTTGGTACATTTGAATATATTATTTTAGACGATTCTTTTATATCAGTTAAAATATTGAATTTTGGTTTTCTCTTTATGTACTGAAATTCTAAAATAGTACTTATCTCATATAAATATTATTATACTAATAATGATGATTAAAGTTAGTATTATTTAGACAATGGACAAGGTCATGCATGCTGCGTCTGTTCAGTGTGTCGCACCAATGTATGGGATGTCTACATCCCTTCCATACATTGTCACACAATCTAAGATTCACGAAATTTTATTAGATAGCATTTAACCATTGAAGGCAAGTTTTAACTGTAATAAAATAACAAAATAATTAATCTTTATTATTTTTTATTTACGTGTAAAGGGAGTTTTCATTATCGAAATCGTGTATCTGAAGTGGTCATACTAAATTTATTAGACGGTGAATTCGTTAGGCAAAAAAAGTATGTTAGATCAAAAATTACATTTTTGTTACATAGAACTTAAGAACATAAATGTCTTGAAATAAGGATTCGTGAAATAAAATTTTAAAGTGAAGATGGTGTTTTGTTTGGATGTACAAAAACAAATTGACCTTACAACCCTTTATTCTATTATTTATTCGTTTGGAGTATGTTTTCCACATAGTAAAGCTGCGTAATGATCGAAATCTGCAACGTGTAATTGTTCCTGAAAGAGAAGTGAAGACAATTATGTCATAAACAGCAGATTTAACGGCTACTATCTGAAGTCGGTTTGGTAATAACGACAAAAACGAACAAGTTGTGCGGTTTGTTACTGGCAAGATAATTCTAGTGCAAACTAGTTTTCCTTGGCTTTTTTAAAAATAAATGATGCATTTTAAAACAAGTATAATGCATTTGACTTCCATCTCACCTGATGGAAAGTGACGATGGGGTCGACTGTGGAGTATGCATACCTAAATAAAGCCCATTCATTCTCGTCTTGAAAAGGCCCAAGTAGGTCATAGTGTTCAGGGAATAAGTCTGCAGGCAGGGAATTCCACACCATAGCCTTTCGTTATATAAAATGTGAAATTCTTCATGCGAATCTTTGGAATATCTACAACTTAGGGGTTCCCACCCCAGCCTACATCTAGTCTCCCGATGAAGGAAAGAAGTCAAATAGTACAATTCTATCGTACACTCGATGTGATATATTGAAGAATAGCGATAAGCAGGCAACTTTACGGCGATGTTCAAGGCTCTGCAGCTTCTTTCAAAGTAGTTAAGCTTAAACCGGTTTAGTCAAACAATGTCAGTTTGTCCTGAAAATGGTCAAGCCCTACTACTACTGTTTTGGCAAAAACCGCACTTATTTGTGCATACTACTGTGCATATTACTTGTGCATACACATTTTTACGATTAAAATTTGGGCGCAAAATCTACGACTAAAACTGAAAGTGAAGTGAAGTTTTATCAATATAAATAACGTTTCAAATACAGTTCTTTTCAATGTCCATTTAAACTTAAGAAATAATCATCTGCCCCCGTAGCATGGCTACGCATGATAGTCGCGACGCGCGCGATAAAATTGAAATAAGCGCGCGCTATTGCTTATCTAAATTAGATCTGATTTAGGGTCGTATTCCAGGACTTTACTCAATACTCAAGCATTTGAGTATTGCACTGAGCACTGAAAATCATACTCAAGTCCTTGCAATTAGGGTCGTATTTCCAGTGCTTGAAATCATACTCAAGTCTGCTGAAATCCTGACTTGAGCATTGAGTAGAGTTCTGGAATACGACCATTAGACAGCCAATAGCGCGAGCTTATTCCAATTTTATCGCGATCGTCGCGACTAACATGCGTAGCTATGCTACGGAGGCAATGTTAATTGAACATTCATAAATGTGTAGTTCCGTTATTTAGTAACATCAAAGAATAAATTTTTACAATTACGGTTTGCAGCTGTTTGTTCATCTCAAATTATGCATAGTTAGCTCTCATAGTCATGACTTGAGCATAAAAATGGAATATGCAAACGATACTTGAAACTTTTACTCAAAACATACAGTATCTCAAAGTAGAATTGATGTACCTTACGTAAATGTGGTAATTTTGATAAAAAAACATGAATATCAGGACGAACTGATATTGCTTAGATTAACCTAGTTTGTGTAAATTGGCTTAGGTCTAACTAGTTTAAACTGGAATCGGGCTTTGCCTGTATACATAATATAATTACTTAATACAATTTTTATCTAATTCAATAAAAATATGGCTCACTGAATACCAAAAAAAAATGTGTAGTGAACCCATATTTTAAATTCATCTAGTACGATAAAAAAGTGAAATAAAAGGACAGACATACCTTTACCATAGTACTGCTATTAAGTAAGTGAAATATACCATTTTCTAAGGTCATTTCACTCAGAACTGCTGTGTATGCCACACCAAGCTGAAGATTGTCCTTAATCTTAAATAAAAAACACCAAGTCAAAAGATAATCCTAACGAAAATGTTAGATATTATGTTACGTACCTGAGATTCCATAGGTACAGAAAAATCCGGTAACCAAGTTGATATTCCCTTTTTATTAAGTCTATGGTCGAGTAGAGCAGCTAATTTAATCAGAGTCTCCTTTTTCTTTGTTTCTAAAACATAAACAGTGGTTAAGTAGGTACAATATACAATTGTAAGCAATGTAGCTAGATATATAATAGTAAAGAACGATAAAATCCTTTCCATGTGTGTGGTTTTCACTAGTGAACATAACTTAAATAAGTTATGTTCACTAGTGAATATCTTTATTTATTTCCAACTTACAGCTATCATTACAGGTTGTACCTAATGCGATAGTGCTGACGACAACCCTTACTTAATTACCTTTAATTTGGATAATAGTAACTTAATAACTACTTAAAAAATATTATTATTATGGTCACACAAAACTCACAAAGTCGCTTTTACGAATTCGTTCAATGAATGAACAACAGAATATATCCACGAAATAAGTGATAACATTTCAAATTGCCGTGTAATCAAATTATAGGATTGATGTCATGACAAATCGTCGGGGATAGTGCAATTTGGGTGCGCACGCTAAAGATGGAGATCGCAGAAACGCAGTGCGCATATTATGTTAGTATACTATGTTATAAAAAAGAATTACGCGTAACTAGCATTGGATTGTGAGTTTAAATTTCGGTAATTTAGTGGCCAAATTAAATCCGCGTAAATGTCGTGGCAACTAAAGTAGCGTGATTTACGGGATTCTATTGTTGTCAGTCCGTAGACAACATAAATTAATGCTACTGGGTAAAAACGAAAGTTCTCTCCTGTAAAATTTGATTCTGTGCAGATACGCACCTTTTACCAATGCTGCCGCCGTTAGTTGAAAACCTTGTGACAAAAACTCAAAACCGAGAAAATAATGTTTAAAGAAATGAAATTTACAAAAAATATTTACTTTTCTCTTGCAGTAACTTCATACGTTAACCACCTAGAAACAAATAAATACCTTGGCAGATCAGCTTTTTTTAAAAAAAATGTCACATGCGCCCTTTTAACTAACGGTGGCAGAATATTACACACGCGGATTTGCAACATCCTATGTTGTAGTAGTGATTATATTTGGAGATGTAGTCCGTATGTAGGTAAATATGATTTCTATCTTATAGTACTAAAGCTCAATTAACATTGCCGCAGGACGAAACGGAAGCTAATTTTTGCAATGACATTGTAGTGCATGGCTTACAGTGACTTTATGTCAATCGTGTCGCTGCGGGAATTCTCTGGAAAACGCGCGATCCTGTCTTTTGCTCGTATCTGGGTTGTCTACACTTTTTTTATAGTACTAAGTGACGGGACGAACAAGTCGTGTGCCTGGTGGTAAGCGACACGCCTATCCCTAGCAGTTGCAGTGCCACTCATTGCTTACATTATTGCTTCGCGCTATAAATAAGGGTAGGACTGTACAATACCTAAGTCCCCTGTGAGTGGGGAGTTACGGAAACCCACCCTTCCTGAGTTATATGACAAAGCAAATTCGTGCCGATTTTTCATATACTAACCTGAATGGGGTGCAACCAAGATTTGACCTATGTAAAATAAATTTGTTTTCTTTCAATCTTAAATGTACAATTACTTATTAATTTATGCTTTTTAATTCAATACTATTTTTTTAGTTCTCCGTCGCACATTAATACTCGACTAAATTAAAAGCCGTATGATGATACTGAAGCTTCATATTTGACAGTAATTGTTTCGGATGGATGTCGGACATAGAAGAACGGGAGTAGACCCCCTGTTTTTTGACTCGTATCTAGTTTATATGTTATACAATTGACATAAAATTCATTATCTTGTGGTAACAAAAATTCGCTGCCATTCCGTTCCGCAGGAATGTCAATTGAGGCTCAAGTAATATGTCAAGTAAATAGACGCCGCAAGTACTGCGATCTGTATGAAAACCAAGCGTGCCACATTTTTTGTACCTCCGATGAAGTCACAAGCGTTATTTAGTGATGGGAAACCTCCTTTAACACTAAAGCGATTGATTCATCGAAATGCGTACGTAGCACGCATTTACAATAATGATTTTTCAAGTATTTGTTGATTATAAGAAGCCGTGAAATATTATTAGAATAAGATAATTAAACCCTTTATTAATACACGTTTTGAAAAAAATATTGCTCTGGAGAACTAAAAAAATAACAACGAACTTTATAGAATATTTTTATAACATTTTTAAGGACATAAGAATTATCATCCTTTTGTTTCCTAAATCGATCAGAATCGAGAACTGTGTTGCATCAAGTGAACATCACTAATCGTAAAATTTGACCAAAAACATGACGAAGTGGCAGTACTACGAAACTGAATGCATTATACGAAAGTATCGCTCGTTCGATATTCAAGGTCTTCTAAAGGACCACAAGTGTAACGCACCAAGTAAAAGCCGCGAATCACTGGGTGTACACTAGTTTGCATACTTGTTTTCTCGAAATTCGTTCAAAATGTAAATAATTGATTTTAAAATAAATTATGCATATTCTGATTACGTCCCTGTTTATTTATCTTCTCACAGCTGTAGTGTTTTTGCAGTTTCTAATGGCACAATGGGCATTTTTCGCGTTTTGGACTGATTTTCAACTACGGTAACGGCCTGGCGCATTCTAAAGCGTATACTATTTATTTATTAGTATTTTTTACTATGCGTTTATAGCTTACATTTTTGGGCATGCGAAGTAAGTACACTTGCGGTGTCTATTTAGGTTAATACATACCTTCATCCATAGCAAATGATATTTGATATGGTGCCATCATTCTGTGAAGTCGCAAGTATCCCTCTTTGGTGATGCTAGTTAGTGCATCCAATAGCAATACGAATAAGGCATTTTCGAGTGTCATGGAACAATTTAGAGTAGATGTTCCTTTAGCCTCCTATGAATAAGGGTAGAAACAAACTTAGTAGCGCAAAGTAGATTATGGGTCGTATTCTAGAACTCTACTCAATGCTCAAGTCAGGATTGCACTGGCAACACAAGCACTGGAAATATCCTGACTTGAGCAGACTTGAGTATGATTTCAATCACTGGAAATACGACTCTAATGGCAAGGACTTGAGTATGAGTTTTAGTATTGAGTAGAGTTCTGGAATACAACCCTGAGTATATCAGTAAGAGGCTATTGAAAAGTAATTAAACATTCATGAACACCTGTACCTACATACAAATGTAAAACCAACAATGATAAACGTCTGTTCAAAAGCTATTGTTAACTTCAGAATAGAGTATAAGATAGGCACTTACTATATATGACAAAGATTCAATTATCATTAAGGTTTATTGTTACCTACATTTTGTTCAGAAGCAACAGTGATAGTTTCCACAGTTTCTTGACCCCATGGGAATTTGGCTACAATGTTCACCTCAGCTCTCTTATCTCCGTATTTGATATCATCAATGCTGAATACACTTGGTGTTGTTGTAATCTGCAAAGAAAACAATTACAACATTTTTGAGTTACTTTGTTTTACTTATATATTTTTATTAAAAATTTTGTAAAGACAATTTAAAATTCTCTATCTGCAAGAAAGTTCATTGCGCCTTAGAGATGTAAGCTGCGGCCGGGTAGAGGTAAGGGCATCATAAGACCCGTTGCTATGAATGCTAATCTCAAGGCCTATAATGTATGTCAATGAAATGACAAGGCACAGCACTAATGTCTAAGCGCCAAAGTGTGAACAGGGTAGATTACACACTGCTAACCTAACACCAGTCCTAGCCCTATGCAGGAGTTAATGTGAACCCACAGTGGTAAAATCAGGTGTTAAACATTTTTGTATTTTGGATACTTCTCAAAGTCTTTAAAGGTGTCCGCCAGGATGGCTGAATCAAACGAAATATACAAATCAAACTGTGCTGATTATTTACTACCTATTTTCTAATATTTAGTACCTTTATAGACATATTTTTAGTTCGCATTCCTTAATACCTACAAATGGAATTTACATTTGTAATAGTGAATTCAACTATTAATTAATATAATAATTGTTATAAAATATAGCTTGCAAAGATAATTCAGAAACCATTGTTGGCATAGTCTAAGCGCCTGCAAAACTATTATTAGCAATTACATGGAGAAGATAAACTGTGTTCCTTAGATGATAATTTTTACAAAGGTGTTTAATTATTTTTTTAAATAAATTTTTATAGAAACTTCCTAAAATAGTGAAATAAAAGTATGTTTAGGTAAAAATTAGATACTAAATAGATTATATAAAACAAGACAATTATATACAGCGTGTCCCAAAATTCAACGATAAGCGGGCGCTGGAGGGTGGACCTGCGCATAACTACTTGAGAAAAAATAAGAAAAAAAATCTATCTCATTTTTTTTTCAATTACGATAAAAAAATTGTTATTCTTCGAAAATTTACTCCCTTAATGATATTTTGAATCACCACGACCACATTTTTTCAGATATTTCTGATGTTTTAATTTTAACGGCCACCTAAGTAGTACTGCTGTCTACCACAACTCTTAAAAACCCTAGAATGCCTTCAGTTTTACACAAAAATCCATCAAAATATTTTTTTTCCTTAACATTTTGAAATATTTTTACCTGCAGTCGACTTTCACTCATCGTTTTGTAAAAAAAAGTATGGACACCACTGCGGCAAGTTTTTTTTAAAAATTGACGCAACTAACCAAGATTCCAAAATGGTATAATACTTTAATAAAACTAGGCGCCAAAAATATTGGTACCATTTCTAAGAAAGATTAAAATTCTTGATTATTGTTCTTGTTCATAATAATCACTTTTACTATGTGCCGAAAAAAGGTTATGTGTTGCAATTTCTTGGAATTTCAATGGCACGTGTGCGTAGTCGATACAATTTAGAAATTAGAGAGAGAGAAAAATACCGAGAGATATACGTTAGAAAGAGATAGATAGATGTCCTTTGTTGAATAGCAATAACGCAGGTAGAGAAGTTCCGGTGCTCAGCAAGTCAGTACGCTCTGCTCCTTTGTTTACTGCGCACCTTTCCGTAATCAATTGACGTAGCTCTCGTACTAACGACTTTTGGCTTGGCTTATTGGACTGGATTTAAGTGATCTGCAAACTAAATTGACCTGGCATCACTTTGGACTGTGAATTGGAGTTTTGGCGTATTTTGAACTGATTATCGTTTATCATGCCGCTACCATACACACCGGTGGAATACGCTAACATGCACCTCATTTATGGAGAATGTCGGTGCAATGCTAACACTGCCAGCAGATTGTATCGAGAAAGGTACCCAAACACTGAAAGATACCCGGATTATCGAGTATTTTTGAATGTGCATCGAGCGTTTTCGGAGGGTCATTTTCCATCTGCCAGAAGAAACGCTGGAAGACCGAAATCGGAATGCGATGAAGAAGTTCTCAATGAAATAAACATTGATGCAACTACCTCAGTACGTGCCATAAAAGCAGCTACGGGAATCCCAAAAAGTACGGCACATCGAATTCTGAAACGTCACAAGCTCCACCCATATCACTATAGGCGAGTGCAGACGTTATTGCCTCGGGACTATCCACTACGGATCGCATTTTGCCGTGTGATGCTGCAAAAACACCGCGAAGATCCCCAGTTCCTAGACAAAGTTCTATGGTCGGACGAAACAACCTGCAAGAAAGATGACTATTTAAATCTTCACAATTCACATAGTTGGAGCAATGAAAATCCGCACCTGATGAGACAAGACAAATCCCAATATCAATTCAAGGTTAACCTATGGACAGGCATATTAAATGGAAAAGTGATTGGGCCCTTTGAGTTACAAGGAAACTTAGATGGTAATAGTTATTTGAACTTTTTACAAAATGATTTGCAAGAATTATTAGAAGACATCCCCTTAAGTGATGTACAAAACATGTGGTTTCAAAATGATGGTTGCCCAGCTCACTACGCCCGTCCTGTGCGAGAATACTTAAACCAAGAATATCCTGGGCCTTTGATCGGGCGACTTGGTCCTATCTTATGGCCACCTCGTTCACCCGACTTAAACCCCCTGGATTTCTTCTATTGGAGTTGTCTCAAAGACAGGATTTACGCAAAACCCATCACAACATTGGACGAGCTTCGGCAAAAAGTCAATCAAGCTGCGGCTCATATCAACGGTAGAAGATATGCACGACAGATAAAACGATCATTTTTAAGGCGATGTCGTGCATGTATTAATGCTGGTGGCAAACTATTTGAACATTTACTATAATGTTAATTTTGCAATAAATAAATTAAATGAAGAAATACCATTTGTTTTGATTTATTCAACATTTTTCAGCAACAAAAACCTATTTTCGGCAAATAGTAAAAGTGATTACTATAAATAAGAACAATAATTTAGAATTTTAGTCTTTCTTAAAAATGGTACGAATATTTTTTGAAACATTTTTTTTAAGTACCTGCTTTATTGTTGTTCAACAAAGGGCATCTATCTATCTCTTTCTAACGTATATCTCTCGCTATCTTTCTCTCTCTAATTTCTAAATGTATCGACTACGCACATGTGCCATTGAAATTCCAAGAAATTGCATCAAATAATCTTTTTTCGGCACATAGTGAAAGTGATTATTATGAATAAGAACAATAATCAAGAAATTTAGTCTTTCTTAGAAATGGTACCAATATTTTTTTGCGCCTAGTTCTCTTAAAGTATTATACCATTTTGGAATCTTGGTTAGTTGCGTCAATTTTTAAAAATACTTGCCGCAGTGGTGTCCGTACTTTTTTTTACAAAACGATGAGTGAAAGTCGACTGCAGGTAAAAATATTTCAAAATTTCAAGGAAAAAAAATATTTTGATGGATTTTTTTGTAAAATTGCAGGCATTCTGGGAATTTTAAGAGTTGTGGTAGACAGCAGTACTACTTAGGTGGCCGTTAAAATAAAAACATCAGAAATATCTGAAAAATTATGGTCGTTGTGATTTAAAATATCATTAAGGGAGTAAATTTTCGAAGAATAACAATTTTTTTATCGTAATTTAAAAAAAAAATGATATAGTTTTTTTTTCTTATTTTTCCTCAAGTAGTTATGCGCAGGTCCACCCTCCAGCGCCCGCTTATCGTTGAATTTTGGGACACGCTGTATATACGTAAGGTGGTTCCAACCTGACGTCAGAATGGCTGGCCACTTTATTTCTTTAATATTTCCGTTAGCGCAAAAGTAGAAAGTATGTCAATAAAGGTACTAAATAGTAGAAAATAGGTAATAAATAATGAGTACAGTTTGATTTGTATATCTCGTTTGGTCCAGCCATCCTGACTGACACTTTAAAGGTGTCACTGCCACAAATATCAACAGCATTTACTGTTCTACTTTTTAAAGCGAGTTTCATAATTGTTATTGAGAAATTGTTTAAAAACAAAATATCACGATATGGTGTAACCAGCTGGTGACTTTATATATGTATACAAACTGTTAAGCTATTTTACTGCTTTTTCATTCATTATTCAAAGTCAAAGAGACCACAACCTTACACTTGCTACAATGTTGATGCACATCTTTCGTCTCATCAACATGTGTCAACTACTGCCTGGTCTTTCTTGAGGATCCTCAAACTTGCCTGTACCAACTTGCCAGCTCAAGTATGGCTATGATTTTCTGATATCGACATGTACAAGGTTTTAAGAAAATCACCAGATAATTTGAATAACTATGTCATAGCATAACCTTAACTAAATTAGGAGTAATACACTAATGACCAGGAAAATTTAAAGAGACAAGGGCAGATTTTTATCCTTACTTAGGAAGTCATCTAAAATTAACAGTGTACAGTTGTTGTACTAAAAGTAATTCTGTTCTTTCCAAGGCTTCCTAATCAGCTCATATATTATAACACCCACATTTATCTCTCCAGTAAAGCAGTGCAGGCTTAAAGAAAAAATACTATATGAATAATAACTAACCGAACTCCACCAGTACTTTCTATATCTCTGCCATTGAATAAAATATTGCATAACATCTTGCTCAGGAATAACAAGGCTGAATCTCAACTCCGATCTTTTCTTTGGCATACAATCATTAAGATCATGTTCCAAAAGCTCACTATATTCAGGCAAGTTTTCAGATATGTAACCAAATGGTATTTTTTTTACTTTGCATTGTGAGCTTAGAAATACAGTCATATGTTTATGTATTTTCGAATGCAAAGATTGAAGCCAATTACTGTGTATGTTTTGTAGCAATATTTGACTTGGTTTTTCTAAGCTATATTGGACAATACTCTTGGTTGATTTTTTAATATCAAAGAATTTATGTAGGTAAACTACTTTACGAATTTCGTGTCTCATTTTGTTTGACTTTGTTTTTGTTTTGGTTATGTTCAAGTTCTACTTCGTGTAATGGAATATTGCCAGGTGGTGCGACAAAGTAGTCGTCTTCTACAACTGCTGCATTTCGTAGAATATCCTTCTGACAGTTTCCTTGAGTTATTTTGATAACTTCGTCTGGACGTAGAGTAAGATTTCTGAAACATGTGGAGATGATTAACTAGTTAATGAGAAGGAATAAATGAATATTTGTAGAGTATTAGTACAGAAATAAAAAAGAACACTTCTGAAAGCAAGTTAGGGCAGTGTAATTAACATGAGAAAATAATTGAGAACTGTCGGAACAAAAACTGATAAGATACATTTTGAGTCACTCTTATATGATAATACCAAACGGTAGTTTTTGTACATTTCTATGGATAATTTACCCAACCTGAACTGAAACTGTTAAATCTTACTTCAAAATAAGTTTCAAATGCACAGACTTGAACACAATGTGACAAATCCATTCAATGAGACTAGACAGAATTAGAATATTAATGTATCAGATTTACTGTTTTTGTTACAAAATTCTTCAATTATTCCTTCTATTTATAAACTTAAATCAAACATTGGTGTTGGTCACGATGAAGTTGATACCACTAATTTCAACATCTTTATAATAGCTCTAATGATTTCCAAAATAATTCTGCAATGTCAGAGTTAAAATGACTATGTATGGTAGTTTTGTATAATAATGTAAAAATTATGGCTAACAATGCCAATGTCCCCTTGAGAAAAAAGTTGATACTGCAAAATTTAAAAAATTACACAGTAATTACTTTATGACAACCACTACTAAAAAACAATAAAAATAAAGTTTCCTAAATTTGAATACAAACTTGAACTTACTGGTCTTCTAAAACAGTGTATAAAGGCTCAACGCCTTCAGTATTAATATTCAGGATTTGATTCGCAAAAGATATCGTATCTTCCAACACTGTTACACCTTCTGCAGTATCGCACTTCACTAATGAAAGCCTCTCCAACAATGCTAACGTGTTTTTATCCACTTTTACTTCGCTTTTCTCTAGCTTTCCTAAGGTTACCGCAACATCCGTAGGAATTTTGCAAGAATAAGCCCTTAATAATAAATTTACGGTTTTATATCTGCTGTAGCTTGCACGGATGAAGTGACAACTCATACTTATGAGTAGATAGTATTGTTAATTTAAAGGATATTAATATTTTGTTATAATAGTTCCAAATACAATAATGCCTCGATGATGTATGTATATATAATAATAATCCTAGAAGTAGAAATATACAAAATGAAGCGCAGGCCACGGTAGGCAGATAACTTTTTCACGAGTTTTATGTCAAAATCAAAATGACAACTCGTTTTATTATCCGTTCAGAAATTAGTTTACAGTTTGTTTTTCATTAATTACGAAACGAACATTTCTTGTGTGGTTTTTTTCCACTGCTCTGGATATCTTACTGGGAATAAGTGAAAGCTGATATTCATAATAAACATTATTTTTCTTTTTTCTATGCACTTTATACAAATTTATCACGTAAAATTCCTGCTTTGTTTTGACGTTTCAAATTAATGGTGACATAACCTGAAAATAAGAGATTTGTTTTCGTGAAAATAGAGAGATCCCTATAATTTCTCTGGAAACTACACTTGAATTTAGGTAAGTTAAAATAAATTACATGGACCATATAATACTTGGACAATTTCTAATGATTTTGCTAAAGATTTAAACATTTTAATGGTATCGTAAAATTGCAATGAATTTCATGTAATTGTTTTTGCAGGAAGCATGAAGAAATACGCGAGTCGCAATATCTTATATGATAAATTGCACCGTGGTGGTGTATTAGTATGTATTGGACTCACTTTATATGGTTCCGTGTTGCTTGGGGAACATTTTTACAAATATTTTAAATATGTGCGACCAGGCATTCAGGCGGCGAAAGAAGTAGCAGAAAAAGAACTCCTAGACGAAGGATCTTCAAATAAAATATTGTTAAAAGAATGATTTTACTAGTCATTGCTATATGTGTTATTTTGTAAGTTTTAAGTAGGTGTCATAGTATAATTACGCACTTTGTTGTTTATTTAGTAATTATGAAATCTGTAAATCAACTGAAATAAATTTATTTTCAAACTATGTTTTACTTTAATAGAGAATGATTGTGCATCAAAATATAATTAATCTTTTTTATTGATACAACTTATTTACCTGTTAATATTCAGTCCTTTTCATAATTTCCTTTCCAACTTTATTTACATCAAAGTTATAGGTAGTTATAATATGGGCATAATTTGATTGTAGTTGTATGTAACATATCTTACATATCGCACCCATCATGAAAGATAAGCATAAGTGGAATTATGTCAAACATGTTTATTGCTCCATTAGATATAGAAAAATAGAAGCCACATCCTCTCCCATTGGAGATTAGATAGAGAGAAATATAATATACATTTTTCTGTTTTTAATTCCACTTATGCCATTCTTCCATGAGGACTGTGATATCTACGATACTTATGCCAAGAACTTATTCATATAAGCTGGTACATTTTTTATTAGGATTTTAATATAGCCTAGTACAGTTTATGTACATTGTGTAGAAATTAGTTGAGTAGAAGAATGCACCTTTTCAAAATTAAACTAGCCCTCGTTAGATGGCGCTAGCGGTCATAATTCACAATGGACTTCCTTGAGGTATACTGTTACATATTACTAATGGCAGTGTGTCATGTACATTTCAATCTTTTTTATTCTTTTCTATTTAGTTTTTTATTAATTAAAATAAAAAACTTGTAACCCCAAATATATAGTGTATTTCTATGCTCTAACCCACAGATTCCCAAACTTTTTGACTCTGCCCACTTAGGCAAGAAAAAAAATGTTGAAAACACGTATTTTTATATTAGCATAACATAAAAAAATCACAAGGAAAACAATATATATGTAGTGCTGTAGAATATAGAGACAAGGTTTTTTTTCAAATGCGATACAGGGGGTGCCCTGTACAGCATCAACGCCCCCCAATTGCTTCCGAGGCTCCTACCCCGCCACCTAGGGCTCTTCAGTGCTCACCGGGAGCGGTAGGGTCCGCTTTGGGAAACTATGCTCCAACCTGTTGGTTTCTTGAAGTATGTTTGAAACTATAGACCCCCGTTAGATGGCGTTGGTAGTAGTATTCCCTGATGGAGCCCCACATAGGTGTACCACAACTACAATGTTATAACTACGGTGGAGTGCATATTTAGCCACACGAGGCGGCGCGGTGCCCGTACCTTGCGGCGAACCCCAACCCAGCACTCTGCTCTGCCGTCAACGTAATCCTGTGGGACTTCGTCGGATTTTATTTCCGGATATTGTATTTTACGTTTGGTCACCGAGATTTTGCCGACTGTATTTATGATACAAATAAACTTTTGTAATTGTAGAAGTGATCCACTTTTAATACGTTTCTTTAAATATTAGGCAGCAACCATCGTGTTCCTTAATTGTGTGTGTAGTATTAGATTCATAGGATGGAAAAAATAAAGGAAATTAGATTGCGTTTCTTTGTGACAAGACCCCTCAATCGTGATGATTATAGCATTTTTCCTCCCTCTAAGTTATAGCAAATAGTATTTATGTGGTCCGTGGCAAATACTATCACGAGACAAGTAATTAATAAATTTAAAATATCTACTTACTATTATACTGGAAGTGTTATTTGTTTATCTTAGGACCTATCTGTGTCCACGATAGCATGACACACAATTAAACATATTTATAATTGTAAGTCAATGTATTTACATATCAATTTAATTTTTTCTTTATGGTATTTGTTTTTTCATTATTACCCATCACTGCACGGATCGTTGGAATTTGAATACAGAATATGATAAAATATTGTAATATAGTCCAACTAGTCGTCTTTACATCATTGTGTTGAACTAATTACTTAATTAGTTTATTTAAACATAAAGTATCAATAAAAAATTGGCTTAAATAAAACGGTAAACATGTCAGGTTAGCCATTTTTTGTCTTGTATTTTGCTTGCACTTTTATAAAAATATTTATTGAAGAGGGAGCAGAGGAAAAATTCCTAATCTTCGATTTGATTTTAGAGGGGTATATCCACTTTAAAGTTAAAAATAAAATATTGTATGAGTAACTACACGATATATTCAAGCATAGACATTAATCAGAAACATAAAACAATAAAGTTTCCTCGTTAGATAAAAATCACGAAATGACCCCTAATTTTCACATTTTTTCGATTTATTCTCGAAATGCTACAGGTTATTAGGACAAAAATTAGATATATTTATGCATGATCGACAACTGTCACTACGGATTTTTTTAATCCCTGTAGTTTTAGAGTTATTCGGCTAAAACGAATTTGGTACTTTTCAAAAATTCAAAAATTCAACATCTCCTGTCGCATGTCACGCGAACTTCAGGCATATATTTGTTTTTACAAATTTGGGCGGAGCCAACGTCAAAACTTTTTTGGCATGTGAGCTCTTAATTATACGTGTATTTTTGCCTGTAGTATAAGCACGTTAGTTAAGAAATAGGGTTAAAAATTTAATCAAATCGAAGTCGTTTCCTCCGGGAAATGTTTTCATCAGTTATAAGTTATGTAACACGTATCACCGATCGTATCTGACAGAAAAAATATCAAAATATCTTGATCTGACTACGGACTTCATTATTTGGATAGATCCATGCCATATTATTATTCTGTCTTACAAGGTTTTTATTGCTAATTATTTTAAGTATATTGTTGTTCATCAAGGTTTTTATAACTGTGAAAGTTCTTTTTCATTGACCCGTGTCGTTGAAAAAGGCTTTACCCATAGATACTTGATTAATATCGTGAGAGTCAGAATGGCGGGTGTGCCTTAACGGATCCTGACAAATTTGGTATCGAAAAATGTATCTAATTTGTACTATTTAGTACCTCTGTTTAAAAAATTTGTACCTGCATCAGAACGAAGTTATAGCATTAACAAAGGTATAGGTGTACCAGAATCTCATGGCATTAAATATTAGAAATATCGAACAACTTTCACCTGGCAATGTTAACTTGTCAATCCAAAATATTACTTGTGTCAAATGAATGTCTGCTAAACTTTTTCATTTTAAAATAACGTTTTTGTAGCAATAGTTACTAAAAATCCGCTTCAATCTCAAGCAAAAAACATTGTAATATTGTTTATCGCAAAATCAGCGACGAATTAGGTGCATCTAAGTCACAATTCACGATTTACAACCAGGTCTCAAGTCTTGCCGATTAGTAGGAGTAAATAAATCTGATCTTTGAATTTTTAACGAAGCCAAATTAATGTATGTGGTACGTTATTTTTGTTGGTACCTACTGGTCTGCGAGACTACAGTGTGTAGACAATGATTGGTTGGAAAAAAAAAACTTCAAATTGCGAACGTAAATAAATCTATCACCCACAATCTAATTGATATATTTTTGTTTAATTTTAAAATGTATCAGAAATTATTTACCTCTCTTACACACAAATTCAAACAGGTCTTAAAACATGTACGAGGATAGATCAATCTTGGTGAAATAAAATATGTGAAGTATCTAGTACATTTTTCCCTACTATATTGATGTTGCCCACTACAAATTTCAACTTGTCTAAGTGCTATCAGATTCTGGTACACCTATACACCCGCCGTATTGACTGTCAATATGCGGGTGTACTTCGGATTACCAGTACCTATTTATTTAATAACTATAAAAACTTCCTATTCCAAAAATTTGTACCTTAATAGTACTATGAAGTAAAGGAAACTCCAGCTCGATCTGATGGTTAGTTTCTAAGAAATAAGACAAAATATGTTGATATGTCAGAGTGCCGTGTGCATTTTAACGAATCCTGACATGTTTGGTACCTAAAAATGTACCAAAATTGTAGTGTATTTAGTATTTATTCTCAAAAAATTGTACGTCTATCATAACGAAGTTATAGCAAAATGAAAATTGTAAATATTTTCGTAATAAAAAAAAATAAATTTCCGCCACATAATTGGGTACCTAGGCAGAGGTTCTACCGTAAAGACCCCCTTCATATGTCAGTATTTTTCCTAGTTTTGATGGAAAATGTGACAAGCGCGTGTCCTTATTTATGTCCTTATTATATTAGTGTGTAAGATAGTTAAAGAGAAATATCTCCATACGAAAATTTATTTTTTGATGGAATGTGTTCGGACCGAGAAACTCAGGAGGCAGTTGGGCAGTGTGGTTAACATACGACAAACTGGGTGGTGTACCTAACAGTATACTGGCCGTTCCTTCAAGCCAAGATACTGTACAAAATATATTTG